TCAGCCGCTCGTGAACAAGGAATATCAGCGGTGGAGCCGCCGCCGCCCCCCGTATGGTTTCTTCATCGGCGGCACGCTTGTCAGTGCCCACGATTGGCAACGGTGCCGAGAGCTGGAAGATGGCGCCACAATTGGTGCCCGACATCACTCGCCCGACGTCCCCCTCGGCGGCTTGGAAGATAGGTAGCGGCGGCAGCGTCGCCAAGGGCAGCGACAACGGAATCCAAGACACCCCATCGACAACGACAGCGGGAGCTTCGACCCTCGTATCGGGTGCACCTCTCGACCGCACCGGCACCGCCGATTGTGTCGGCGACAGCGGAATCCAACACACCCCATCGACATCGACCGCAGGAGCTTCGACCCTCTTGTCGGGTGCGGTCGAGAGGTGCATCCAACAAGAGGGTCGAAGCTCCTGCGGTCGATGTCGATGGGGTGTGTTGGATTCCGCTGTCGCCGACACAATCGGCGGTGCCGGTGCGGTCGAGAGGTGCACCCGATACGAGGGTCGAAGCTCCCGCTGTCGTTGTCGATGGGGTGTCTTGGATTCCGTTGTCGCTGCCCTTGGCGACGCTGCCGCCGCTACCTATCTTCCAAGCCGCCGAGGGGGACGTCGGGCGAGTGATGTCGGGCACCAATTGTGGCGCCATCTTCCAGCTCTCGGCACCGTTGCCAATCGTGGGCACTGACAAGCGTGCCGCCGATGAAGAAACCATACGGGGGGCGGCGGCGGCTCCACCGCTGATATTCCTTGTTCACGAGCGGCTGATGCTGTGGGATTGCGCCGTTCCGCCGGTTGCCGGGTGCCTTCCGCTCCTGTCGCTGCGGTTGGTGTTGATTTTAGGAGGAAGAAATCGGAACATGCGAGCCAGGCTGGCCGCCGACTGCAGTACCGCGCCGCTGCGGTGACCCCTCCCGTTCCCGCCACCTGCTACCTCGAAGGATACCTTCGTCGCTCTAGCTGTGGGAACGTTCCCGTCCCTGCGTCCCTCGAACCCGCCGCTCGGGCTTTCTTTGCCCGCCGACTTCCAAGAGCTGTCCCAAGTCACAAGCGCACTCCTACGCACGTCGCTGGCGGCGGTGCTGGTGACGCTGGTTGCGGCCGTTGTCGGGTGTTGACAGGCCCAGGATTCCCTTCTGCGGGTGGTACGCATCGTCGCGTGGAAGCCGTCGCTGTCTCCACCGCTGCCGCTTGCCACGCTGCCAACGCGTCTGTTGTTGCGGCTGCTGCCCCGTGCCACCAACGCTCCACCATGCGAGGATCTGATTGTGGACCAGTCGCACCTACTGGACAGCTCTTGCTGCGCGGGCGTGTCCGTACCCACCACCGTGGCACCCGCCGCGGCCCGCGCCTCCGGTCGCGCCGCCATTACCGCCACGCGTCGGGACGATCGGCGGCGGGGAGAAGGGGTTGCTGGGGCGCCGTGGTCGGCCGTTGGTCCTTGAGTGCCAACGGCACCCTCTGCGGTGGTTCGACCGACGCGCGTGAGGCTGAAGTCGCTGCTAGAAGTGTCGTCGCTACCCTCGTCGTTGTCCGTCGAGGATAAGACAGGGCCGAGCGAGGGGCGCGGGCTGGGGGCGGTACCGCCAGACGACGATTCATGACCGTTCTCACCGCTGTCGCAGCTGGCGCCGCTGACCCCGCTGGAGCCGCTGACCCCGCTGGCGCCGCTAGCACCGCAGTCGCCTTTGGCACGGCTGGCGCCACTGGCGCCGCTAGTGCCCTCGCTGCTGATCGAGTCTTCGTCCATCGAACCCTCGCACGAAGTGCCGCAGTTGCATGGCGCGGAAGGCTTCTTAACGTAACCCGAGAACTCCACCTATGGGTAGCACAGAGGTCAGTGGACAAGCAAAAGTCGCAGCCAGGTAAGATTTTTTATGGTGTCCAGCACAGCCCACAGGTCGTAGCCGATGCTCGTGGCGCAGTTGTTCAACACATGTGTGAGAAACGCGTGGGCTTTTACCGCCAGCTTGTCCTACAATACATGTCTTGGTCCACTACGCACGGTAGCAACGTAGCTGGGTTTGTGCGCGAATACAAGCTCGACCCAATTCATGCCTGAGTTCAGCCCACCAAACACCGGTTTAGAAGAAATTGAAACTGATTAGCTGCTGACGGGCTTGGGACATGCGCAAGACATCCATCTGAGCTCCACTAATGCGAAATCACACGAGTACCTATGCTTGGACTTTGGCCCTTTTCGTTAGTTTTGGATCCATTGATCACCTCGTGTCGTGCGATGGCCTGGCGACGGACGTCATGCAGAGAGTTAAAGTACTCCACGTCTCGCAGAGTGCGGTTGTTGACGATGGCGATCTCGACCTTGCGCTTCTGCCTGATGGCCGCCTGCATGTCGACCAAGCAAGCTTACGTGAACGACTATACTTCCCTACCTTCAATACAGTTTTGAACTACAGGCGCTGTTGGTAACACGTTGCCGGCCGTAAGTCAAGTGTAGCTCTACACACGCCGTGAAATTGCAAGTGCGCCACGCCGTCTGCTCGGCGAATGTCTGGGAGGGTTCGAAGTATTTGCGGGACATGCGCGTGGCGTACATTCGTGTACCCGCGTTGTCTCTAACGAACGGCGCGTGTTGGCCATCGTGTGGCGAGACGCGTACCATCCCTTCGTCTCACGCAAAATCAAAGTTGATCTCGTGTCTGCCCACATGTTGGCGTTTTCATGTACGACACGCAGCTTTCGTCCGGGAAAACGAACGTCCGATCCGCGTAGAATTTGCTTGCTTGAGGCTTCGATTTTTCAGCGAAAACAAAGAAGGCGAAACGATGAACCACGCCAAAACGAAACGCGTAGCGACTTGACACCTTCGACCTACCGGGTTTTCTCCGAATGCGAACACTTTTTTCGCGAGCGGCGGGACGTTTTCTGCATGTCGAGGTTTTTATGTACCTTGACTTGGGATACGCCTGAAACCACGCACACCAATTCCCTTGCCTTGAAAAGCACGCAGAATGAGGCACTGGAAGAGCTCAAAGCGATTTCACCATCGTCATCGTCAACAACAATTGAAACAGCAACAACGAAAGGCAGGGTTTATTGCAGGCTCAAGACACGATGGCATCTGGCAGGGGGCAGCTGCCTCTTTATTTATCGGAAGCCCATATATCATGGGGTTTAATAAACAGACGATGAGGAATCTCGACTGCAGGCTTGTAACCATAGTCGGGATGGTTTTATGACGAATCAAGATATTTCTGTTGCCGTGAATGCAGTGAGGACTATGTTGAGCAGGGATAAGCGTCGTCGGGCAACGGCCTGGAGAAATGCAGCCAGATCCCTCCGATGACACTCAAGTGGAAGAGCGGGCTAGTTGAATGAGGTTGGGCCAGTCGTCGACTTGGAATGAGTATCGACTCCATGTGAATCAAGAATAATTTACGAAGAAACATTAACAAGTCCGTTCAATATTTTAGCAGTAACTCCGAGACATCGGTAACAGCTGCCCAGGCACCGTTTCATAGTCGGTCAAGTTGCAACGCAAGGGAGAATAGGAAGAACAAACGCACTCGTGCGCCGACTTCTAGGTTAGCCCCGCAAGCTGAATTTGTACTGACTGGTAATATGCAATTTTATCATAACACGGAAATATGTGCCTCTGTTTCAAGTGCATCAGGTGGTGGACCCACTTATGCGGCGGTTCATGCGCCAACACTGAGTCAATATCCACAACACCCCAATGCGTTAAATTCGTCCTCCAAGAGAGTGCCATTTCCTGCCCGAGTTTGTAATCACGCTGTGTCTGACCTCACTATCGACACAGCAGCTGATGTACCGTGTACATGAGCGCCTTTTATAAAATCACATCCAGTCCTGAAACGTTTACCTCTGAATCATGTTCCTCCTGGCGCAATTCAGTTGAATAGCGCAGACGGATCAGGGTTAGCAATCCTAGGATACTTCCGTTTTGAGCTCACACTGAGAGATATCACACTACCAGTGGACCCTCGTGTTGCCCAACCTAGGTCCGGATAAGATGTTGCTCGATAAAAGCATTATAACGCCCTTGGTGCCGTCCTTGGTTGGTGCGGTGGGCAACTTTCATTTAAAGATTCAACAAAAAAAATTCCGGCAACTCACAGACGTACGAATACTGTATATGACACAATAAAACACATCCCCTGGACCGATTTTCAAAGCTCGATTACTCCACGAAGAGGATGCATAAACGAAACGATACATTTTCAAAAAGCTCTCGACGAGATGGTTTCAACGCCGCCGTTTTCGGCGCTGTGACTGTTCCTGCAGTTGAGAAATCGAGCTTCGAAAATTGGTCAAGGGGGTGTGTTATCTTATGTCATATACGGTAGTCAAGTGAACACCAATAATGATGCCCCAGCGCAAATTTCCATAGTGACGCTTGACCAATCGATAGGAGCGGTGCAATTGGTCAGCAAAGGACAAGTCTGCTGCAGTACAAGCTGCTGTTCCATCCAAACGACACGTTCACATTGCACGCGACACTGTATTATTAATAGGGTAAATTTCGCCAGAAAAATCGGTTGCCGATAAAACAGTGAGCGCTGTCAACAGTGACCAAACCACATTCAGACACAAGCGGGACGAGTTGAAACGAGCCATGAAAAAAAGCGTTCACGAACACTACATTTACTCCTGAACAATGCTCGCAAATCTTGGATTTATGCGCGAAATACCGTGATGTGTTGTCCTTAACTCCGAAAGGGCTCGGAAAATGCAAGATAGCCAAGACAGATTTTCCGCTAGAACCAGGCACTAAACCAGTCGACCGTGCTCCCTATCGTACTAATCCTAGAGCACAAGAAGATATCGAAAAGTGTGTGCAACAAATGAAAGACGAGGAGATTATTGAACCCTCATCTACCCCATGGGGCAAACCAACACAAGGATTACCTACCAAAGGATTTAGAATACAACCAAAACCTAATGTCAAGATCTAACTGGAAAACACCATTTATTGATAAAAGTCTTTTAAAAAGATTAAGATTAACACCAGAGTTTGAAAAGAAACCTACATGGTCTCGTCGATCAACAATATATCCAGCTGCTGTTCGACTAAAAATACAGATATATAATGGTAAAGATATGATTGCCCGAAACATTAAACCTGAACTGGTAGGACACAAATTAGGAGAATTTGCACCAACACGAAACCATTTGCACAAAAAAAAAAATACAATAAAAAAAAATGGCACAAAAAGCTCACCCTATTATTTTACGAACCACCAATGACCTATACCAAGAGACCCAGTTCGTGGTGATCTGCTGTTATTTACCATCGTAGCAAAAGCTGATGGCACTCCTCGATTCTGTGCGTTGACTACCGCTCTACAATTAACAAGAGTTAATTCGAAAATCTTGGCCCATGCCAGATGTAGAATCCCATATTGATACCGTTGGAGGTGCAAATTTCATTACTGTCTGCGATATCCAGTCAGCCTACCACCAAATTGAAGTAGACGAAGCAGAACAAGAAAAGACTGCTTTGTGACACACAAAGGGAAATGGGTTTTCAAACGCCTTCCCTTCGGAATTGCGAATGCTCCTTTTCTATTTGCCCGTATGATGTCTCTGGCGTTCTCTCACTTCGGATCACGCGGTGTGCATTTGGTGGATATGGACGACATCATTTGCTGCAGCTCAAAATGGGAGAGCCATCTAACCTTGTTAGAAAGCATGCTCCAAGCACTCCAAGCGGCCGGTCTTACCTTGAAACCCTCCAAGGTACAATTTGGACCACAGGAAGTAAAATACCTGGGGCACCTACTGTCTGCAAAAAGGATTCGCATTGGGGAAGATCGTATAAAATCTTTTATCGACTTGCCTATACCCAAAACAATTGAAGCACTTCGCTCAGAATTAGGAATGGTTAACTATGTGATGAAATTATTACCCGACCTTTCTACGGTGATCGCATCGCTGGTCAAACTCACACAAAAAGAGCATGTTAAATCGATCGCGACACGTTGGAACCAGGAACACGATAAGGCTTTTACAGATACTTAACGTTTACTCAGCAAAGCACCTGTGAAATGTTTCCCTGACTTTACTAAAGACTTCGTGGTTCGCGTAGATGCTAGCTAGTGAAGTTGGTGCAGGAGCATTCCTGGGCCAAAAGAACGGCGACGATGTGAGCATTATCGCTTACTTTAGCCAACCATTTAACAAAGCTCAACGTCACTACTCTGCGACGATGAAGGAATGTTACGGTGTGGTCTTGCGTTTACAACACTGGCGACCCTACTTATGGGGCAGACATTTCGAAGTTGTCACGGATCACGCGGCATTGAGATATTTGTACACAATGCAAGACACGTCTAATATGCTGACCAGATGGGCAATTGCTTTGCAGTCCTTTGACTTTACCGTGCGACACAGGCCCGGAAAGTTGCATGTAGTCCCAGACACCCTATTTCGGTTGTTTGCGTTCGATCACCAACAACAGTTGGAAGCACCGCAACTTGCACCGATATGCAGGAATGTGCCTGATGAGCCTGCACTGCATACAAATGTTCCATCACGTCCGTACCAAGTATCTGCAGATCGTTTGGATAACTTACGACCAGTTCAAAGTGATCGCGAAATATTTGCTGAGAAATCAGTTTATATTAGCGCGACCAACGTATTTGAAACTATTGACCACGATATATTGCGTGAAATACAAGCTCTTGAATATAGCACCTATGTCGACAATCTTACAAAAACTGACGCCCAATTACCTGATAACGAGAAAACCACTGCCATGTCATAATACGTCGTGCATGATGGATTGTTGTTTAAATCGGTTTACAAGGCTACCTCCGGAAACGTAGTACGTTTAGTGATCAATTAGTGTTGTCCCAGGCCCTTACTGGACTAGTGCTGCACGCTTATCACGACCACGTATTATCTGGAGGCCACTTAGCATCTAGACCGACTTATGAGTAGATCCGCCAAAAATACTTGTGGCCAACCATGAATCGGGACGTTCGTACTTGGTATGAAGAATGTCAAGCCTGTCAGCGTCGAAAAACAGCCCATAATCGAAAAAAATTACCAACGGGACATGTACCAGTACAAGGACCGTTCGAACGCATTTCGGTTGACCTAGTTGAATTAAAGTAGAATCAGTTTCAGCCGCCGGGGTACGGTGCAAATATGTCCTATCCATGATGGACCACCTAACTCGATTCACCGTGTTGACTCCGATTCCCAACAAGTCAGCAATCACTGTCGCGCAGGCCATTGTCAACCGCATCATCAGCATCTTTGGATTGCCTGAAATGTTGCATTCCGACCAAGGACCTGAATTTCAGAACAGTGTAGTCCAGCAGCTACAGCGTACTATCAAAAAACCCGCACGACACCATACCGTC